TCGCACGCCCACACGTCACGGCTCCCTCAGCGCGCCGTTCGTCGCGGCCCCTCCTCATGCGTGCAGCAGGCGAGGCGCACAGGGCCGTCGTCATGTGCGTGTCGGTGGGTTTGCGAGTGGAGCAGTTGGGCGGGAAACACACGGCACCCCTCGCAGGAAGAGTGCAGCAACAAACAATTAAAGAGGGAAGAGCAGAAAAAAAAAAACGTCCATAGTGACTGCCCCAAAAAGCAAAAAAGAAGGAAAGAGTGGAGAAAAAAAAAAAAAGAAAAAAGAAACAAAAATTTTTTAAAGCAAACAAAAATGATTAAAAACAAACATAAAAAACATGAGAAATTATGCTCCTAACAGAAAAGAAAATTAAGAGCCGGAAAAAAAAACGCTTATAATGGTTGCCCCAAGGCAACAAGCAGCAAGGGGAAAATGGGAAACATTAAAAGAAAACAAAAACAAATTATTCTCGGCGTAGTAAATTTCATTCCTAGCGGTGTGTGAGTGTCGGTGCAGGGAATGGCACAAGTGCTCCACACTGAGACCGCACACTCCTCACGCAGTCGCAAAGCCCCACAGTCCCAGCAGAAGCAGCAGCGGCAGCAGTCCACTCCCGTACACGGAACCAGCATCACCATTTGCCCCACCATCACCCTTTTCTCGTGCCGTCCCTTCATTCCCAGCAGGTACAGCAGGCACCGCAGGTGCGACAGGTGCAGCAGGCACCGCAGGTACAGCAGACACCGCAGGTACAGCAGGCACCGCAGGTGCACCAGACACAGCAGACACAGCAGGTGCGATAGGATCAGGAGCAATTTTTACTTGTGGTTCTGGAGCTCTCGTCGGAACGGGTATCCTTTCCTTGATTGCACTCATCTCAGTGGGATTTAGTGGGCGATTGTAAAGAAAGACGTCCTTCACCGTCATAGGAGAGTTTTTCATATCGCACGCGCCAAAGCAAAAGTATAAAAGCTCAAGTGGTGTCTCATCCGTTAACGGCGCTTCTTCCTCCCCCAGCGAATTGCCATCAACGTACACGGAGCTCTTGTTGCCTTGCAGCATGAGTGCCACTTGATATTCTTTCTTAAGCTCCCAAGTGCCACTTTCCGTTGTTGGTTTTGTCTCGCCTTTGGAAATCGTCTCCCACGTCTTATTCGCCGTATACAGGATTCCCATGGTATGCGTGGGCTCAGTGTTCGCCAACACCGCAATCAGTAGAGGAGTGTTCCCACTCGGGGCCTCTTCGATGGTCACCGTCGCCACAAGTGTAAAGTTGTGGCTCAAGGATACATTACGTACTTTATCATCCGGAATGTTCACAGGCCATATTACCCCGGAGTCAGGCTCCGTCAATTTCAACCCATCTTTGACCTTCGTGGCGTTCCTCACCGTCGCATTCAGGCAAAGGTACTCGTCGATCCACGTGTCATCGCTGGCCGCATCGGACAATACCGCCACCAGACCCGCCGTGGGTATAGACAACCCGGGGAAGAAAACGTCCTTTTGCGCCCAGGTCTTCAGGACGAACTTGATTTTATTC